TGTATATATGTGTGTGTGTGTGTATATATATATATATATATGTATCTGAAAAAAATGTATATCATCTAGTACATTTCACTTAAGTTGTATTGACACATGGGTCTTGAGCATGAGTTGTTGGCAGTGGTATGAGTTGCCAGGACATGAAGAGCAAAAGCAGGAGGGCAGATGAGTGTCAGGAAGTACACACATGCTGATAGGCAAACTGGACAGGTAGATGGACAAAGACCAGCATTTCTGCCATAAACATTTATAAAATGTAGGGGATAAGCTGTCCATATGATGGACAACAGGTATCACAGGCCTGAGAACTTTTAGAAGGAGAAATAAATTACTAGTAGCAAATTAGTAATTGGGCTTACTGAGGCAGCTGAGATTTTGTAGGCTGGGTAATAATAATAAATAATAAGAAGAAAGCATCTGTGCAGAGAAGGAGCTCAAAAAATATGCACAGCTCTTCTTAAATCCTTGGCTGAATATAAAGGTACACACACACACACAGGGAGAGATTCCACAAGGTTCACAGGACAAAGAACAGTTACTGAGGAGAGAACAACTGAGAGTGGTGAGATAAACAGGGATTATAGAACCTACACAGCATTGGGAGACTCTGAGTTCAGAGATTTGAGATTCTGACAGAGAGTAGAGACCTCATGGGATACCATAAGCATTCAGTAGAGACTTTTAAAGAGTCACACTTCAGAAGTAGAATTAATGTATTCCTAAAATAAAGGCTACTCTAGAAACAGCTTCTAGCAAAGCTTAGAAGCAATCCTAAAAGGATCAGAATAATCTGTAAGTAAATTAACTGTTTGTCACACATAAACTCAACTCTCTTTAGAGGAAAACAACAAAATCCAGTCACTCAGTCATGTGGCATCTACAGTGTTTGGCACAAATTTAAAAATTACCAGACGTGCAAAGATCATTAAATGTGTCCAGAGCCAAGAGAAAAATCACTCAAAACAAGCAGACTCAGAAATGATAGAAATGATGGAATTAGCAGCCAGAAATTTAAAAAGATATAATAATTATATTCAAGGATTTAAAGGAAAATATGAACATAAAAGAGAAAATTGGATGTTCTAAAGAGAAAAGAAAGCTGTAAAATGGCCAAATGGAAAAGACAGGATTTTAAAAAGTATATATTAAATGAAAAATTCACTGGATGGCCTTCCCATCAGGTTAGACATGATAGAAGAAAAGGTTAACTTGAAAATAATACAGTATAAGCTGTACAACCTACAGCACAAAATCACAACAAAGACTGAAAGAAGATAAACAGAACTTCAAGGATCTCTGGAAAAATATCAAAAGGTCTAACACATGTTTAAATCAAGTCCCTGGAGGAGAAAAAAATAACTGAAACAGAAAAAAATACTTGAAGCAATGATGGCAGAAATTTTTCCAAATAGGAAGAAAATTATAAACTTACAGGTTCAAGAAGCTCCATGACCCAGTAGAATTTTCAAATTTTATTAAATTTTATCAAATATTTAAGAAGGGAACAATACAGAGAATAGAAGAGGAGGGAAATTTTCTCAACTCAGTTTGTGAGGCCCAAAAAACTGAGATACAAAAAGTAAACAAGAATTACTGAAAGAAACTAGAGTATTTTCTGTTGTGAATGTAGACAAAAAAAACTTAACAAAAATTAATGAATTGAATGCAGAGTTGTTTTAACATTTACCAACAATCAACTTAATACAACATGTTAACAGAATAAAAGTGACAAGTCATATGGTTATATTAATAGATAAAGAAGAACATTAGACAAAATTTAACACTCATCCATGATTTTAAAAAGTCTTAGCAAACTAGGAATAGAAGGGAATCTCCTCAGTTTGATCAACACCATCTATAAAAATCTTCCAGCTAATATATTAATGAGGAAAGATTAACACTTTCTCTGTAAGATTGGGAACAAGGAAAAGAAATAAAGAGCCTGAAGTTTAGAAAGGAATCAGTACATCTTTATTCATAGACAACTGCATTAATAGATACAGAATCCTAAGGACAAATAAGTGAATTCTGTAAAATCAAAAGATACAAAAGGATATACAATGTCAATATACAAAAATCTATTGTACTTCTGTACACCAGAAATAACTAGTTAGAAAAGAAAAATTTTAAAACAATATCATTGACAGTGGTATCAAAACCAAAATATTTAATGATAAATTTAACAAAGTGTGTACAAGAACTACATGCTACATACTACAAAATGTTGTTGAGAGAAATTTAAAAGATCTAAATAAAGATAAACTGTTTATGGCTTTAAAGAGTCAATACTAATTCTTAAATTCTTACCAAATTGGATTTTAGATTTAGCCTACATTTGAGCAAAATTCCTGTAGCTTTTTTTTTCTTTTTTTCTTTTTGGAAAAAAAAAATCTATATGCAAAGGACCTAGACTCACCAAAACAATCTATCAGGGAGGACTTACCCACCCTGATTCAAAGACTTAAATATAAAAGTACAGTAATCAAGACACAGAGGTACTGGCAGAAAGATACGCAAGTAGAGAAAAGAATATTCCAAAAGCAGACACTTGCTCTACCTTAAATACCTGCAGTCCCGTCCCTGAATATTGACCTAGGGGAAATGAAAACATGGGTCCACAAAAATACCTTCCAGAATATTCATGGCAACTTTAGTCGTAATAGCCCAAAACTGAAGATTGATTTCAGGGTCCATCAATAAGAAAGTGAATCAGTCGTTGGGGGTATATTCTACAATGGAATACTGTTCAGCAATAAAAAAGAACAAGCTACTGATACTCTCAAATAGCACAGATGAAGCTCAGAAGTCTCACTGAGGAAAGAAGCCAGGGCCCCAAGAGTATACACTGTGTGAGTCTATTTATATGAGTTTCTAGAAGAGGCAAGTCTCCCGTAAGCTCTCAGCCCCTCTTGTGCACCCACACATCTCCCATTATTCCTCCTCTAGTGTCATCTGCATTCCTCGCGGGGTATGGAGTGAGGGGAGGCTGGATTCCCGTGTTCCCCCCATCCCTCCCCCTCCCCATCCTCTCATCTCCCTGGAAGGTGTCCTTCAGAAACACATCCTACCTATCACACTGTCATGTGATAGGAAATAAGTTTTAATTCCAACTTACACAGCTCTGTGTACTCATACAGAGAGCGAGAGAGAGAGATGAAGGTGCACAGAAAAGTAAAACGTGCACTTTAAATTCAATATTGGTCATCCCTGGGGAATGTATGTCCCACTCCCAGGGAAAGGAAGATATTTGGGTACTTTCATTTACACATTTTTATATTATCTCAGTTTTTATACGGAGCACATACTACTTTTGATGTTTTAAGTAAAAATCAGAATCTGCTTTAAATGTCCCCAGTTGTTTAGAAGCTGAGAACCATCTGTGTTTGTCACATTATATAAAAATTGGTACCCGTGGTCTCTTTAATGGACATATTTCCAACTCACTTATTAACCCTCTGTTATAACAAAATGTGCGGGTACAGGGATGCTCCAGAAGATTCTCCACTTCTCATGGCCTGTGTTGTGGAATTTACAGTGGCTTGACCATGAACTACTGCAGAAATCCAGACGGTGACAAAAGCCCCTGGTGTTACACCACTGACCCATCTGTCCGCTGGGAGTTCTGTAACTTGAAAAAGTGCTTAGACACAGAAGAGAGTGACACCAACTCCCCGACGGTGCCCCAAGCTCCGAGTGGAAATGACCCTTCTGAGTCAGGTGGGAAGTCCGTGACCAGACCTGTAGACACGTGGGCATCAGGATGATAAGGGGTGGACCACGTTATGGAGGGAGAGCACCGCCCCCCCGAGGGTCTGCCACGTGGAGGCAAGCCTCAGGGTGCCATCAGGGAAGCCAGAGCTGCGATGGCTGGTGGCACGTTGGGTGGGCTGCGTTTTTAGGACTTGACAACAAACCGGTTCTGAGCGATGGCTACAATTTGAGCCTGAGTGGTGGGAGAGGTTGGTCACGGCAGCGGGGGCCAGCATGGCTAGAACATCAAATCCTTGCCTCCCCTGTGGAGAACTAGAAATGCTGGATTTGGTTTTGAAGTGCTGAATCTCTTTGCTCTCTCCTTGTGAGCCTGGGGGCTCTGTGCCCATCTCGGTGTCCCTCCTAGATAAGACTTGGGATGACCCGCCATGGTTCTCCCCTGTGCCTGCCCCACATTTGGCATGCGGGTAACCCCCTTACCCCAGTCCTGGCAAGCTCCGGGGTTGCAGGCTGCCCAGCACAGCCCCCGCCCTTGGCAGAGAGGCTAGCCCACCCAGCGTTTGCATTTTGGATTTTCCAGATGGCCGTCAGAGCACTGGTGCCCTGGGTCCCCCTAGGGGACCCGCACCATGTTCTCTGAGGGGTCTTGGGGAAGCCCCCTTTCCCTAGGTTGGGGCGAGGGATGGGCTTGGAGAAGGAATCCCAGTCGTCTCTCCATGAGCCCCTTTACCCCAAAGGGTGGAAACTCACAGCACAGCTCTAGCCAAAATACTATCTTTTATAAAAATTCTCTTCAATTTGCTCTTTTTACCCACCCACGTTGAGGGTGAGGTGTTCGCGGTCACCCGGCAGGTCCCAGCGGCGTCTGTTTGAGGCGACTCCTCTGGGGGCTCTGTCTTACCACTCAGCTCGTTATCAAAGTGACTGTCTTCGTGTCCTGGTCAGAATTTCCACGCTAACATCTTGCCTTGGCGATTATTTCCCAGGCAGTAGCGTTTCTGGTAACTTGTGCTCTCAGGCTGTGACCTCAGAGACTGTCATTTGAGAGCCCTAGTGTGGCTGCCGCGGCTCCCCAGCGTCCTGGTCTGTGTCAGACAAGTCGCCACCCAGTTCTCCTTCCTTCCACAGACTGCATGTTTGGAAACGGCAAAGGGTACCGGGGCAAGAAGGCTACCACGGTTCTGGACGTCCCCTGCCAGGAGTGGGCTGCCCAGGAGCCCCACAGACACAATATTTTCACTCCGGAAACAAACCCACGGGCAGGTCTGGAGAAAAATGTAAGCCGCTTTGACTGGAACTCTATGTTGCCTCTTCCTGACCAATCTTTGCAAACAGAATTGGCCCCGTGTCACGGCAGGTCAGCCCAGACCAGTCCTTGGTGGTGGCAGAGGGGATTGGGAGAGAGCTTGGGAACAAGCGTCCGTGGAACTGGCATCCGCTTGGCGACTGTGGTTGCGCGGCCAGCAGACCTCCGTGCCTGTGACTGCTGTCCTCGGGCTCCTCGTTTTGTTTGCGTTTGGAGCATTCTCTGCTTATTTTTAGTACCGTGGCCTGTTTCTACTTTCTAGTGTTTGTCTTCTGCGTTCTTAGTCAAGGATGACCTTCATGACCTTTTAGTCAAATTTTTCTAGAAAAGGATATGGATGGGCTATGCGGACTCCACGCGGTAGGGTTTCCGCTAATCTTACACACGCTATGGGATGGTTTACTTTGGGGGTACGTATAGGAAAGGAAAAGGGAGACACTGCCTTCCCGTGGCTTGACCCATGGAGTGCACACAGTTCTTGGGAACAATTTCTGAAGCGAGCAGGTGTCACTGGGGAGTAGATGGCTGATGTGAACCGGGGACAAGACGAGTCAGCCATGGCCCATGGTCCTCTCTTGCTTGCTCTCCCAGAGGCCCCCTGACCCAGGCTGCTGGAGGGGAGGCCCCTTTATGTCACCTCTCCCTCAGGGCCCCTCAGGACCCCTCCTTCCAGGGGAGTCACCCACAGCTTCTTTGAGCAAGCTGAGTCAAAAGCAAGAGTGACTTTGCCCCCCACGGCAAACTACTGGGGACGCTACCTTTCATCCTCTAAAGACAGCAGGGACATGTTGTCAGAGCACCTTCTCTGCCCTTCTCTGTCCCACTGCGCCTGGTGCCCTATACCCCTGTCTTTTTTTTTTCCCCCTAGTACTGCCGTAATCCTGATGGTGATGTCAATGGTCCTTGGTGCTACACGATGAATCCGAGCAAGCTTTTTGACTACTGTGATATCCCTCAGTGTGGTAAGTTGCCTTCCTCTGTGTAAGGAAATGACTTCTCACATAAATGCAGCAGCACCTCCCGGATACGGATTTGCAGAAGGAGGGCTGAACACTGAGCACATCAGCTGGGCTGCCCTCTCTTCCTCACAGGCCTCTTGGATCTGTCCTCCTGGTGGCTCCAGTTACTAGGGAGTCCCCCTTCCCTGACACCTTAAATAAAGTAAATACACAGTCCTCCAAAAGAGCAAACAGGTGACCCCGTCGGCCTCGGGATGCTCTCACTGAGCTCTCCGTGCCCCGCGGGGGATGCCTGAGAAACAAATCGGAAGTCCCACCCCGGATCGAAAGCTCTCCCTTTCAGCGCCTGAGAAGTCAGAAAATTCGCAAACACCGTGAATCTGCTGCGTGTATAATGTACGTTGTAAACCTACAAATTGTCATCCTGAGGATTCAGTGAGAAGCAATGTCGGTTTTTACTAAGCCCCAAATCTCCTTTACCCTAAGATTAGTATTCGTTACCCATACCTTACCCATAGAACTGAGAGAAAACGTGTCTGGGTTCTTTCCTCATTTCTCTTGAGATTTTCTGGGAGGAAGAAGCTTGGATCAGGAAAAGGAAAAAAGTTCGGAATATCAAATCCCTGGGTACTTCTGGAGAACAGTGTAAGCCGCTTCGATTTGGACCCTGTGTTACTTTTCTACTGACCTGTCTTCTTTGCAAAGAGAACTTGTCTTGGTTACAGAAAACAAGGCTGGACTTCTCTTTTGCACAGCTTGGTTGCAGATGCTTTTGTCTGCCATGTGGAGGGGCTAGAGCGAGGGAGGGGGAAGCTTTAGCTGCAAAGGCGGTGTAGACAAGCAAGCAGAGGTGGTCGGGGAGGAGTTGGGGTACGGCGGGGGAGAGCACAGGAGCCACTTTGCAGGGTTTGCACTTGGGCCATCCTGGGTAGAGCAGTGGGGAGGAAGGGGAGGCCAGGGTGATGGGCAAGATTTCACTTGGCTCCTTGTCTGGATTTAGGGTGAGTTTAACCGCTGAATCCTTCTTGAGTGGCTGTTTTCTCTCTTCCGTATAAGCTCTCTTGGAGGCCCTTTCATCTGAAAGGCCCTGAGTGGGGTTGGTGCCTCCCCTTCAGCTGGTCACTCCCAGTCCTCAGCTCTGCCCCTTCTGGAACACCTTGCTGCCTCATCGTGGCCAGGTTCTCCATGTTGGACAGGCTGCTTGCTTGACAGGATTGACCTTCCTGCCACGGGCACCACAGCTGGGCTGACACTCTTCGATTCCCATGGAGGAGAAATAACAGTAACTTCCCCGGGGGCAGCTCTTGGCCGCCACCAGATACTCTAGCCTTCTAGAGGCTGGAGCTGTTTGGGCGTTAGTGCAGGGTATCAAAGATGGGGCATGACCCCTATTGTCTAGGTGGGAAGGTAGGAGGTAGGTAGAGCATATGGACAAGTGAATGTCAGTCATCCCCCGGAGGATTGGGTTAGTCTTGGGAAGCTCCTGGAAGTCCTGTCCAGAAGCTGGCTGAGAGACGTTCAGGACAGTTAGCTCTGTTCCACACAATCACACACAAACACACACGTGTGCATATATGCACACACAGAGCTTCACATTAAAAAATACCCATGGTGCCTTTCAGCGGAGATGACAACTCTGATTTTCAGTAAACTTGATGTGGTTCAGGGGGCAATCATGATGACAAAGAAGGTGAGGAGGGTGATGAAGACGGGAACCTAGATCTGTCACATCGAGTCAATAATAATTGGTATCAGTCAGGTCCTCTGAGCAAAGCTTCCACTCTACCACCTATTTCTACCAATCTGCTTAGTCCCTCTCCTCCCCATTCCCCTGCAAATAATACAGAAGTCCTTACACTTTCCTGAAAGGAGAAGGTTCTGTGCTGTCTACTGTCACTTTTGAAACTTAGAATAAAATGTCCTTAAATGTGCTTACAATCTCGCTATTTAGTTTGGGCTCTGAGATGTCGAAACCTCAGTGCTTTGGCCGTGGCCCACTGATTTCTCTTGAGTTGTGTGACAGAATTGCTTTCCCTTCTTGAAATATGACTCTTGTTTCCACTTCGTGGTGCAGCATCTGGTTCATTCGATTGCGGGAAGCCCCAGGTGGAGCCAAAGAAATGTCCTGGAAGGGTTGTCGGTGGGTGCGTGGCCAACCCACATTCCTGGCCCTGGCAAATCAGCCTTAGAACAAGGTAACGGTATTTCCAGAAATGCTTAGTTTCATGCTTCTGTGTAAGCCCCGCAAAACCTTTCTACGTCCAATCCGCACAGCTCGGGGATCTGTACCTGCCTTTATGGTCGATCTTAGGAGGAAGGAAGGCTACAAAAAATTTTTAGATTATATTTTTCTAGGTTCTTTACCTTGACAGTAGCCCACCTTGGAGTAGTTTCCTTGATCTGGGTGGCTGTTGTTGAAATCTATAGATGGAGTGATGGACAGCACGTCCCAGTATCGCTGGAGAAGTGTTGAAGATGCTGGAGGGTTTTATAGTTGTCCTTGTTTTGTTGAGTTGCCTTTCCTTTCTTTACCTTCTCATTTGTTAGCTCCTTGCTGTACAACCTTCACCTTTTACGTATTTCAGATTCTGTCTTTCCCAAACTGGGCTGTTCTCTGTCTCCTGACTGCTAATTATCCTGCCTGCTGTTGTTAACGATGGGCTTTATTCAGAAAGGCAGCTCACACCAAGAGGGTAAAATGAGAAGGCTCCTAGGAATCACAGCTGTTTAGGGTCACATTTGGCTCCCTGAAGAAGGACTCATCAAGCCTTGCAGAGGTCTTTTCATAAAAAAATAAAAGAGGCCTCAGGGGGATGATCTTTAGCTGATCACTTCTGTTGGAGTTGAAGGCCAGCAAGTCCAAACCGTGGACGTGGGCATCCCGTTTCCACCACGTGACTTTGCTCTCCTATGGACAAGCTGTGCCTGAGCCTTCCCCCACCATCTAAAGTGTGGTGAGGATGAGACCTTCTGGAAGATCCACTGTTGAAGTCCAACTCAAAGTTCTGGGCGTCCTGATGATGGGCTAGTAGCCTTTTCCTTTGGGAACATCAACATTATCAAAATCGAGTGAACTCTTCTTTCTGGCTTTCTGTACAACATACCATCAGGTTTGAACTAAAATTCTGGCATGTTTTTCTTCTAGATTTGGAAAGCACTTCTGTGGAGGGACTTTAATATCCCCAGAGTGGGTGCTGACGGCTGCCCACTGCCTGGAGAGGTATGTCTAGGGGACAGTGGATATGAGGACTTGTCTTAAAAGACTCCCTGCCTCCCTCCCCTTCTCCTTTCTCACTCTCCTCCATCCCTCCTCCCTTTCCTTCCCTTCCCTTGCCTTCCCTTCTCTTCCCCTTCCTCCTTCCCTCCATGGCAGTGACACTCGGGACCAAGGAACAGATGTGAAGGCTGAGGCAGAATTGCCAGGGCCATTGGATGAGGGAGGAGGGGAGCATTTCTACAGAGAACAAAGAAGGAAAACCCAGTTCGGTAGGTTTGTAGGCCTGGGTCAACGGCAGGAAGACTTGCTCATTGGGACAGGCATTGGTTCTCCTGAGATGGGTGTCTGTCCTTGTACTGACTTCACTATTGATTTCATTCTTCCTCTGTGGTTAGGCCAAAAGTGGCCCAAGAGCATTCCTTCATGGCCAGATTTAGGTAAACAGTGAACTTCTCTCTTTCTACTCGGAGGAAACTGATTGTGGGTAGCCAAGTGGGGAGACGACGGCATGTTTATGACTCAGAAGGGCACTTGATGAAGGGGCTGGCATGCTATTTTGTTCCTAATGTCACTGTCTTTTTCCTAGATCCTCAAGGCCTGCCTCATACAAGATCATCCTGGGCGCACACCGAGAACTCAATCTCGAATCAGACGTGCAGGAGATAGAGGCATCCAAGCTGTTCCTGGAGCCCACGCGTGCGGACATCGCCTTGATAAAGCTGAGCAGGTCCGAGCTCACCCGTGCTCTTCACCCCAACATCAGCGAAGACATTCGTTTATGTTAGGAAGAGCAGCACGACACAGGGTTGTGGGGAAGGGGTGGGGGTGGGGGACATGAAAGGCACGAGGGCTTTGGGGAACTGAAAATCTGGGCTCAGTCCCATTCTGCCCCATTCTGGCTGTGCTCTTGAAAGGAAGGCATCGGGATTCAGTTCGTCGGGAACTGAATTCATTCATCGGGATTCAGCGCTTCCTGAAATGCTGGCTTAATGTTCACTAGTCAGCAGATACACATTCATAACCAGAGGATTCTTCACGTCCTTCCGGTTGACAGTTCTTCTCTCAGGATGGTAATGTGTTTGGTGGAAATCAAATGAAATGATGTATTTCAGGGCACTTAAAAAGCAACAGTACAAACACACACGGAGACATCCACACGCAGTTCACACACGCGAATTCTTCTTCCTGTCCTTGTTTTAATTTTCCCTGTTGAAATAGAATTTTACTAAGTCTGACAAAATGGCGAATTTGCTTATGTTACATAAAGTTAGTGATATCTGGAAACAGGTCTCAGTAGAGAAAGCTAAATGAACAGCGGTTTTGAGAACAGATCCATTTGGGTGAGTCAACAAGGCGCAGAGAACATGGGCACCTGTTGAACATGGGCACCTGTTGGGAGCGACCAGCGGGTGGGTGGCAGAAGCGCCGTGGTGGGGCAGGCACCTGGAACCCTGGATCGTTCTCTTTCAGCCCCGCCGTCATCACCTCAAAGGTGATCCCAGCTTGTCTGCCATCTGCCAATTACGTGGTTGCCGACCGGACGTTGTGCTACATCACTGGCTGGGGAGAAACCCAAGGTGAGACCAATCCCGTGACTCTCCCAGGAACTGGTTTAGTTTCCTTGGGAACATGTCCGTGTGTGCAAATGTCTGCTAGTGGTGAGGTCCGCCTCTCCTAACTTCGGCTGGGGTCCTGCCTAAGTCTCCATAATTGGTCATTAAGGGACGTGGGTGAGGGACGGGGTAGTGTTTCTCTGAGTCTGTTGGCCCATAAATTCAATGTTAATATCACATCCCCATGTAAGTTCTGAAGCAAGCCTGCAAATTGAGGCCGTTCGATTATTTTCCATGTGAAGTTAGCCATACCGAGCTCTCAGACACAGTGTGAAACAAGAATTCCTGTGAAGCTCGTCTCCCCCGATACCCACATGCCCGTCATATGTGTGGAGAGGCTGTCGGTGGTGGGACAGAATGACAGCTAGGGGAAAGGAAGAAGGGTCCCGGCCCTAGGATGGTTTTCGTATTGGTTGCTGGGGTGTACATGAGAGGGGAAACTTTCATGCATGGTCCTGTATTAGCACCCCGTATTACGTTTTGAGGACCCCATCTTCTCTGCATTAGGCCCTCATGGTAACTACACCCCATCAGACTCAGGCCTCGAAATGTTGTGAGGATGTCTTCCATCTCTGCCTCGCCTTCTCAGAAACGTTGGTGAGAGCATAGAAGGGGAGTCGGGAGCCCTGAGAAGTAGTTCGGCCCCTGCCGCTCGCTGGGCAAACCGGACCCGTCACCTTACCTCTTTGTGCCGTTTGGCCTGGAAGAAGGTCGTGTGTAAAACCTGGGTTTTCAAATTGTGGTTTGCATGTTATTCTTTTGCATTCGCTTTCATTTCAAGACAGGTCTTGTGGCTTTAAAAAAAGGTGTAAAACTAATGGTCTGAATCGCTTTAAATTTGTCTTCCTCCTTTCCGCATTTTTCGTACATCTGTAAAACCTCACCTCCCGGATTTTGCACGTTCCCCTACCCCTTCTCTGCACTTCAGGGGCTGTGAGCATCAAGAAGTGAAGGGGAACATCGCAAATGGCGCTGTCCCTGTGGAGGTGACGGGCCATTCCAGTGTTTCACACTCAAAACAAATTTAAACACCACAAACTCCTGTGACTTCGATATGTTTGTTCCCATTTTGCAAATGAGGGATCCGAGGCTCCAAGGCGGGCAGGGCAGTGTCCTGGGAAGCACACGCACGCACACAGCCCGTGTGTAGCTGGACCTTGAAGCCCTGGGGGCCTGAGCCCTCACAGCCCATCTGCCATCCTTCTGTTCCACCCACATTTTGCAAACTACCGACCTGTACTGTGCTCCCCCATCGACCCTGGCCTCACCCTCACAGCCACGGGGAGAAGACCGTTCTCAGTACGTTCACTGAACCGGGAGGAATCCCAAAACAGAAGTCAGGACTTTTGGGCGATAGTCAGTCACATCAGGTCAGTGTTAGCCTCTCGGTGAGGTAAAAATCGGCCTGTCCTCCCATTTGGTCTGCATGCTTTCCCTGACTTTGATATTTCCTAGCAAGGTAAACGTCCAGGGCCAGAGGCTCCTTCAGGTTAGCCCCTCATCAGCCGTCCGGGGCGCTGTCAGAGGCCCTGCTTCCTGCTCCCCACCGGCCCTGAAATCAGGGTTCCGTCGCCGGGGTCACCTTCAGCCCCGCCCCCCGCAGCCCTTGGAGGTGCTGTGTCCACTGTGGCCACACGATGGCAGCACTTCCGCACAGACCACATCCATTTCCTGTCCACTCCTGGTGGATTTTGTCCCCAGCATCAGGATATTTTCTTGCTCAGAAAGCAGATGCAGGAGCAAGACACTTGGATATATGAACTCGCAGCAAAAGATTCTGAGAAGGCTGGTCCCTGCACGCATCTACTCAAGTCATGCACCCCCAACCCAGTGCTTCCTCAGGCCCTAGGGCAAGCCTCTCCTTCCCAAATGGGGGTCCTCCTACATGCTTCTGTCAACTCCGGATTGAATGCCAAGTTTTCCAAACTGAAGACAGCTTTCCAAATGTATTCAAAGTCTTTGGAGAAGAAATAGCACCTTATCCCTTGGCCGTTCCATGCTAGCAAAGATTTTTTTTTTTTGCAGAATGCATTAAAGTCGGGCTTGCAAAATTGGAAAATGGGATTATTTGTGAAAACATGGAGATATGCCCGGGGGGTGTCTATCTGGGAAAGTAGCATTTCCTCTGGCTATTTTGCAAGTGTTCCATTTTGATTTGCCAAAGTGAAAAAAAAAAAAAGCAGTTTTTCCTGAAAGAACAAATACCACAAGTAAACTAAATACACAGGAGAATGTTTACTTTTCCTAATTTGGACAGAAATGCAAATTAGGAAATGAACTAGGACAATTTCCACCTATTAGCAGGTATTTAAAAAATATTAAATACTCAGACATGGGCGGGGTGATGTGGCCTTTTTTTTCCTAGTGAAATTTTACGCTGTCATACCCTTTTAGGAAATACTTTGGCAATGTTCACTGGGAGCCCTAAATATGTCTATATAATTTATGGGAACTCAGAGCTAAGAAAATATTAAGGAATATAAATAAAATGCATGAACAAAGACGTGGAAAGTTGGAAGGCACTGTAGGAGCCTGGGAGTAGGGGAGTGAAGAATTGGGCAATGACATCACACACCCAAGTGCAAATCCCAGCTCCTCTGCAGACCTGCTGGGTGATCTTGGGCAAACTGCACTGCCTGTATGGCTCAGTGGCATTTAGTATAGTCTCAGTGTTGTACAACCACCACCCCTGTTTGCAGAACACTTTCCTAACCTTAAAACACTTTCCACCCCACTCCTGAAGCAGTCATTCCCCCATTAAATACTGATTATGAAAATTGCAGCATTCTAAGAAGGCCCTTACTATATAGCATTGTGTGAAAACAATCAGGATATAAAATCTTGCGATATAAGTAGAAGAAAAAATCATCTAAAAGAGACTGAAAATGAATAGATGTTATAGTAACACATTTCTCAATCTCTCTTTACATATTGAAAAATATTTCTTTTAAAAAAAAATATTTATTTATTTGACAGAGTGAGGGATAGAGAGCACAAGTAAGGGGAGCGCTGAGCAGGGAGGCTGATGTGGGGCTCGATCCCAGGACCCCGGGATCATGATCTGAGAGCAGATGCTTAACCAACTGAGCCACCCAGGCGCCCCCCAAAATACTTCTTCATAGTTAAACAAAAATAACACGTATCCCCAGACACCATCAAGAAATATTAATTCCAGATTATTAAATCCAGGTCTTGGGAACATGAAATCTTACGTAATATCTGTACCTTCAAGGTTAAAATGAAAAGCATTCCGGTAGTGTCCGGAACTGACTTCTTGCTTTATACAACCTCGTGGACAAACGAGATCTGTCACTGCTGCTCTGCTGTTCTGGAAGGTCATGTTGGGGATCCCGTATAACCATTTCTTTAATCTTTTTAAACACAGGCACCTTTGGCGCGGGGCTCCTCAAGGAAGCGCAGCTGCCTGTGATTGAGAACAAGGTGTGCAATCGCTATGAGTATCTGAACGGAAGAGTCAAATCGACAGAGCTCTGTGCTGGGAATCTGGCTGGAGGCACCGACAGTTGTCAGGTAAGCACCATGTTAGTCTCCAGGCTTGGCCTCTTAGATATTTCAGCCTCGAACGGCAAATTCCAGAAGGCTTTACCAACTGCAGGCCACCGTCCAGATGCTACCCAGAAAGATTTTAGGTCTGTCCCTGCATCCGGATTGAGATCCCCGAAGGGGATTTCTTGGGCCCTAAGTTCAGATCGATGGTAAGGGAGGAGTTACGTACCATCACTGCCGCAGCCCACAGGTCCTGTGGGGAGCTGGGACTCATGGGGTGGTCTTTCCAGCAGGGAGGCCAGGGAAAGTGTGAGACAAAGACCACTTTGCAATTGCTTTGGGGGTTTCATCTGCCTAAGAGAAACCCCAATGCGGGAAGGGATGAGTATAACATTCACAAGGGAGTTTCTCCCTGGGAACACTAAATGGTGTGGGGTTTTGATAAATACACTTTGTTAAGTACTGAATATAGTAGATATTCAAATAATGTATTAATCAGTTCCTTTCTAATTGGAAGAGAATGTTCAAATATTGGGTAAAGTTACATCTGGGTAACAGAAGGATGGCATTCCATAATAAAAGGATGGTGGTTTATTTATTTATTTATTTTTATTTTTCTGTTTTGTTAATTAACATACAATGCAGCATTTGTTTTGGGGGTACAGGTCTGTGATTCCTCAGTCTTACTCAATTTACAGCACTCACCGTAGCACATACCCTCCCTGGTACCCTTAACTCAACCACCCTATCCCTGGCCCCCCACCACCCAGTAATCCTCAGTTTGTTTCCTGAGCTTAAGAGTCTCTTATGGTTTGTCTCCCTCCTTGGTCCCATCTTGTTTCATTTTCCCCTTCTTCCCCCCCACCAACGAACCCCCACCCTGCCTCTCAAATTCCTCATAATCAAAGAGATCTTGTGATAATTGTCTTTCTCTGATTGACTTATGTCACTCAGCATAGTACCCTCTAGTTCCATCCACGTCATTGCAAATGGCAAGATTTCATTTCTTTTGATGGCTGCATAGTATTCCATTGTAGATATATACCACATCTTTTTTATCCATTCATCTGTTCATGGACATCTAGGTTCTTTCCATAGTTTGGCTGTTGTAGACATTGCTGCTATGAACATTTGGGTGCACGTGCCCCTTCGGATCACTACGTTTGTATCTTTAGTGTGAATACCCAGTAGTGCGATTGCTGGGTCATAGGGCAGCTCTATTTTCAACTTTTTGAAGAACCTTCATACTGTTTTCCAGAGTGGCTGCACCAGCTTGCATTCCCATCAACAATGTAGGAGTGTTCCCTTGCGGTTTGATCTTCACATGTTTTTTTTTTTTTTTTCCCCCTCTCTGTATAGGGTGACAGTGGAGGGCCTCTGGTTTGCTTTGAGAAGGACAAGTACATTTTACAAGGAGTCACTTCGTGGGGTCTTGGCTGTGCCCGCCCCAATAAGCCTGGTGTCTATGTTCGTGTGTCAAGGTTTGTTACTTGGATTGAAGGAATAATGAGAAATAATTAAGTGAATGGGAGACAGAGTGATTCCCTGACATATCTAGAAGCTGGAACACGGGTAGGGAAGTCGGCATGCTCAGAAATCATTGACCGTAATCAAACTAAGACACTGTACTTGGGCCATCCACTGCCAAACCTCAAGGTATTTTAGTATTGTTGTGGATAAGTTTTCCCCGCCCGTGGACTGTTGCATCCTGTAATAATAAAGTAACACATCTATAACATTTGTTGAAAATAAACTCTGTCCTTCCTTTGATTTAATTTTCTTGAACTTCATTGTTTTCATGTTCTTCGTTTATACTACCAGTTTTAAATAATGTACCTCTTGCAGACTTAGGTGATTTCTCTCTTTATCATAAGGCATAGTTGCAAAAAAGAACCAAGAAGCCTGTAAGATCATAGAGAAGGGAACAGAGAAGTCCTAGTAAATCACCCCTATATTCACCTTGTCTGTGAAAGATGGCTTGACATACATCTTTTAAGGTCTTTATCCTGGCACTGAGATGAAGGGACGAATGTTTTCAGAGCAGCAACATGTATGGGGAGTCATGAGAACAAATTCTATTCTTGGGAATGAAATCTGTTACCGATGACTTGACGTAAGCCCAGCACAGGGGATGCTGGGCAGAAAGCTGTATGCGGTGCAGGGAACGGGCATTACAAGTGTAATACAAGACCAGTAGGGAGGCTGAGTGCTATTCTGGGTCACGTCTGAATCCAGGAATGGGACCAAGAGCCCGTGAAGGAACAACGAACATAAATTGAAGGTGGATGGCTTAATTTCCTTTGCTAATTGGCTGCCCAGAAAGGAAATACACACTGTCATGTGGGGACAGTTTTATAGTGACAGCGTTCAGCAGGAAGAGGGAGAAAAGACACCGAAGTTACTTGACAATTTAAAACTCTTTATTGTTACCAGAACCAAAATACCAACTCAGGGTACAGCTCCAAGGTGAGCGTATCAAGGAGGAACAGCCATCTTACAGCAAAGAGGGCTGCAAAGAGAGAGAAAACGTGCGTGCCCGCGGATAGGGGTGACTGCAGCGTGAAGTCCTCAAAGAGTGGCGCTTACTTCACTGAAAAATCAAACATTCATACTCAGTTTCATTGTGCTTTAAGGATTAAAATCTTAGTTTGCAGTTGGCACCCACATCGTACATAACGGTCATGTTTGCGTAGGATTTTCTTCTTCGTTGGCAAGATTTCCCTTGGTGCCCGTTTTGTCTGTCCACACAAAATAGTTCATGAAAAAAATCTGCATGAGATATATACTGAAAATACAAGAAATGTACCAGATAAAGCAGAACAACAGAAAAAAGAGAGCATATTTGCATGGGAGCTCCACATTTCAAAAGTCTCCGTAACAAAACAAAGATCAGATCCCTCCTATTAGTGTCTATGACATCACTTACAAAGCTTCTGCTAATTCTTTTATGCGTGGATATAATTGACCTTCCTTTTAAATTAAAATGTAAGCTTCTTCCCAAGACAGGTTAAAAGGGTCAAGATTGAAAAGGGTCGAGATTGAACAGTCCATGTTTTTCACTGTTGACCACGGGCAGCGTCCTAGAACTGAACTCACACGTACGAGATAAATAACCCTTTAAGATCAAAATTAAGACCCATGAAATCATAGTTCCTGGATTTCGTTCTGTAAAGAACGGAGTGTGTGGCTTTAGATGCTCACGAAGGCAGGACCCAAACTATCCCCAATCATCGCATGCCCAAAACCGATGGAAGAAATAATAGAGCCAAATCCTCGAATTGGATGGAGAATTTGTGGATAATTACGGAGTCAGGCTTGAAGATGCTGGCAGGCCCCGATGCCACAGTGGCTTACAGAGCTCGAAGCAAGAAGAGAAAGGAAAGGCTCAGTATCGTGTGGCCCAAGGTTCTTCAATTCAGCCTCTTTGTGAACAGGATTTCCAGAACTTCAACCTCCCCCCAATCTTCAGAGCTCTCAGGTCAGAGCTTTCGTCCCTCGTTCAGGTCTGATGAACCCATTGCTGCATCCTGTTCCCAGATCCCCACTTGGCAACATCTTGCCTCCATGGCGGAGCGAGCAGCCGTGAGAATTCAGGGAAGGCTTCTCTTGTCCGTCTATCCCTGAGCTGGAGACAACAGCTCCAGCTTCAGAGGAAAACTGAGGCAGCGATGTCCACACGCTGTCCCTGTCCACACAACAGGCTCTTGGCTTTGCTAAGCCAGCCACACACCGTGTTCCCAGAAACATCAATAGCACTCTAAATCCTAATTCATCCCACATTATATAAAAATACTCTGGATAATTTGAATGTCTTTGTACAGTACGACAAACACTTGGAGCCACAGAGCATGATGCAGCTGAAACGGACACACACACGTGTCTGCAAGGCACATCGGTTCCTTGGGAGAGGTCAACCCTAAGAGCTCCTTCCTTTCGTCTTTGGCAGCGGGCCTCAAAGGTGAGAGCTGGACACTTGAGTTTTCTTTTTCCTGCCACATTTAGAGGAATATGGACTATGAAAACAAAGAGAAAACAGAAAGTCCTTATGAAACATCATACAACTCATTCCAACAGTGTTTTCTTGCTACTATTCAACGTTACAGCTGCTTTTCATGAAACACGCTCATGCATAAACACGCAGTTCAAAGGTAGTGAAAGTGACAGTCTCCTGGGTTTTTCTTTTTTTTCTTTTTTTTAACCTGTTTTTGGTCGCTAGGCAGGGGTTAAGTAGCATTGCAGCATCTACGTTCTCTATGTGACAGGACGGGATGCCACCCACCCTGACATGGCCCCCAAGCTCAAATACAAGCCAAGCAATTGTCTAGGAAGGCACAGTTAGCAAAAGGTTCCTCTTTTCTGGAGGAGGCAGGACCTTACAATGGTATAACGCACAAGAGGAGTCCACACAGTTTTAACACCTTTTATACATTTCTTAATTTTGATTGGCAAAATGGCAAGATCTTAAAGAGAATCTTCCATCTCACTCCGAATTTCAGGTAGCATTGTTCTAGGGTGAAAAATAGGTAGAGCTTTGGGTAAGAAATAAGCCATTATTCGTCACTCGATTTCCAAACAAGCTGCAGAATCTGTTTGGATGACTTCCTGGGGCAAAGGTCCCCTTGTCCTCTGACTGGCCAGTCCTATTATAAGTCAGCTGGTGAGAATGAGCTGATGGTTTTATTTTAAATACATTAAGTTTTTCTTACGAAAGTTCTGGGATCACAGGCACTTTAAAAATGTCAGCATCTACTCTGTCCTCCATCTACGAGTGAATAGCCATGAAGTTATTCACAGTCAGTCTTCTTATAAATATTTTTGATGCAATATTTTTTAAAAGTTCAGGGATCCACATCCTCAATTTCTAGGTCTTTATTTAGACTACTGATTTTATTTTAAAAGTTAGCTGTTACATTATTTTTTGAATTATGCAGATAATACAAGGCCATGGGTTGTAATTAGAAAACAAATAATACAAAAGCCTACAGAGTGTAGAAGTGATGTCTTCTTCCCAATTCACTTCTATCCTCAGCTGGTCTATATTACAATGTTAGATCTTTTGCTACACATTCTCATATCCATATCTTCTCTTCCTCTTTTTGTTATGAAGCATTTTAAGCAGAGGAAATTAGAATTTGTGTTCTGTGAATTTTTGTTGATATAATTCTTCATGTTTATGTACTGGTTGGGTATTAACTTTCTTTGCACATGAGTTAGATGCTCTTCTCTCTCTCTCATAATCTCTCCCTCTCTCTCCTTCCCAGTCTTCTGTCTCCTTTTATCCATCCATCCATCTACCAATCCGTCTATCCATCATCTCTCTCTCTTTCCATCCTCTCTCTTTCCATCTAGGTACAGAGAGAGGTTCCTATTGTTTTGATTTTTTAATAATTACTATAACATATTGTTCAGCAACTTTTCACTTTGTGACCCATCTTGAAGACCTTACCATGTCACTCCACATAGATATATCTCAATTCTTCTAATCTCGATATAGTAATCTACACCAAGAACACATTAGCATTTCCATCATCGGTTTCCTACTGATGTACATGTAAGTTATTTCTACTTTCCTTTCGCTGTCCTTTTCTTTAGATTGTTTCTGAGTTTTAACACCTTACTTAGAAATGTTTCCCTCTTCCTAACCACATTTAAAAAAGAATACACATTCTTTTATGGTTCTTCTCTTTTTATATTAACCTACCTTTTCTTTCCCCCAAAGATTATTTATTTATTTATTTGAGAGCGCGCGTGCGTGAGAGAGAGAGTCAGAGAGAGAGCACGAAGCAGACTCCCCACTAAGCAGGCAGCCAGAGGCCGGGACTCCACCCCAGGACCATGGGATCATGACCTGAGCTGAGGTCAGACACTTCACCAACTGAGCCACCCAGGCGCCCCTTACGTTAACTTCCTAAATCAACTTTGAGTTTTCTGCCTAGGATGTGAGTTGGGAATTGATATTACTCCCCTCCCCACGAATGTTCAATTTTCTCCATGTATTTTTTCCCCAGGAGTTTGAAATGCTGCTTTTATTTAAGATGCACTGAAATTCATACAATACCTGCCAAGTTTTTCTACATCATCCACTGTTTCTGGCAAGGCAATACCCTTGGTTTCGGGCAAAAGCATCACGAGACCACCACAGACCGATGCCAGGATACCTAGGGAATAGGGAACGGCGGGAGAGCATCAGGAAGGCGCGGCCAGCGACACCCCCTCTCGTTGCCCCTTCCTGGCCACCTTGCAGCAGCTGTGCTCACTCACTGTAACCGGCCCTCGGGTCACCCTAACCAGCTCTCCTGCTCTCCTCTAACGCTATGGGAAGTGTTCCCTCCCTTCCTCGGACGCCGGGCAGCCCCACCATCCTGGCACTCTCGTGCACATCCATTCCTTCACTCCCCAAACAGTCACTCAACAGGTGCCTCAGTGTCGACCCTGCAGAGAAGATCCCACCTTCTTTTTTTTTTTTTAAGATTTTATTTATTTATTTGTCAGGGACAGAGGGAGAGAGAGCGAGCGAGCACAGGCAGACAAAGAGGCAGGCAGAGGCAGAGGGAGAAGCAGGCTCCCTGCTGAGCAAGGAGCCCGATGTGGGACTCAATCCCAGGACCCCTGGATCATGACCTGAGCCGAAGGCAGCCGCTTAACCAACTAAGCCACCCAGGCGTCCCAAGATCTGCCTCTCGGGGAAATGGCAGCCCCCAGATAGGCATCCCCTCGGTTTCCTTTTCCCGGCCAAGAGCTTTACTGCCTGCTCTCCCCTCCTTTCCTTACTGGGTCACGTCACACAGTCTGACGTGTCCCCGCTGCAGCCCGCCGCCATCTCTCAGAGTCTTTCTGGGCTCCTCCATGGACCCAGGAGCCCTCAGGCTGCAGCTGCTGGAAGCACCCAAGGGGACAGGAGCCTCTCATCGGCAGGGGCCCTTCTCCCCACCTCACGGGATCCTCCAGTTACCATCCCCCCCTTTGCTGGTCTTTAGAGCAGAAATTTGGGAAGCGTCCTCCCCCACTCTGTCCACTTATGCTGGTGAATGTTTACCGACCAGCTCTCCAGAAGATAAAGCCCCAACGCGTAGCATTTGCCAATTTCCATGGTGCAAGGACTCTCCCCGGGGACACCCCGAGCTAGTGCCCCGACATCACCACATGAGGCGCTGGGAAGGGCGCTGCAGTGACGCCCTGTGTCTGGCAATTCCTTCGGAAGGATACACTCAGCAAAAATCACGGGAAGAACACCCACCTGTTTTAATAATGGCTAAATTAACCACTGGGCTCCAACACTCCTGAAAACTTCACAACTGGCCTTGGCAGGTGGGTGCCACCAGCTCGAGCACCAGCACTCACCGCCTCGAGCCAGGCTTCGCCTCTGCCTGCTCTCTCTTGCCCCTGAGCTCCTGCCCTGCTCCCGTCAGCTCCAGAGACACAGACTCTGCTTCTGGGGCCTGGCGGTCTCCCCCTTTCCCAGCCGGGAGCCTGGCCTCACACCTTCCTCTGGCTCAAGCAAGCCCACTCAGTCATCCCTCTCGCTGGTTTTACTTTATTTCTTGAATCTCTCCATGCCCAGCACTCCCTGTGTCATCCCCTTGACCCCACTGCCATGAGCCCTCACCTGATTAACTGGCTGATGACCGGCACTGTCCCCGTCCAACCTACTGGTGGATGGGCCATCAGAGCCAGCCTTCTAAAATGCAAACCTAGCACTGTCAATCCCAGCTTAGAGCTCTTAGCTTCCACGATTGTTTGGATAAAGAGCAAATCACAGAACTAGGAAGACCACGATCTGACTCAGGCCTGCCTCGCAGCTTTACCTCCCTCCCCGGCCCCACCGCACACACTGTCTCTGTCCTCTAACTGGCCTTCCCACTGTCTGAAGCCCCAGCCACACTCCCCATGTGGCCAATTTCTACTGTCTCCGATCTCAACTAGACATCCTTCCTTCCTCCTTGGCTCAGGCAGGTGGGGAGTCCCTGTGTTACACACCTCCAGTGCCTCTGCTTTCAGTATTTATCACACTGTGATGTGACCGAGGGTTTGGAAGTGTGGCTCTCTCCCCAGCCAAGACCTTGAACCACTGGACTCCCTGACCACTTGGTCTTGGTTGAACAATGGCACCCTTTGCTTTTCCATGCTGGCCGCAGAATCGACACTGAGCTAATTTTTCAGATCCCATGAAATAATTTGGAAATAATCTTGTGCTGAATTTGGTGGTGCCAAGTGGTTAGAAGCTTTACTATCCCTGGCTAGCACTGTTGGGAATTTTGCATTACTCAGGATGTATGGCCTCATGGACTCAATATTTTCATTATAATTTAAACTGCAGAGCAACACATGAAAAACATAAAACATTCTCTACCAGGAGTGAGGACATGGAGGCAGTGGAAAGATACGTGAGAAAGGGACCCCCGGGTCCTTCCTTGCCAAGAAGGGCAGAGGCGGGTATGAGACCCAGGCAGAAAGGTTGGAACAGCACCTGAGAAGCACTGGACTGAATTATCCTGAGCCCCCTGCCCCTAAACTTTGGCTCTAGCCCCTCGTGCGGCCTGTGGAGATTGGAGCAGGAAGGAGAGTATGAACCCGAGGGCCAGAACAGAGGTTACTGGGCAAGGGATTCTGTGTCCTCTGTTCTTCCTACACAGCAAGGTCTGCATCAAAGCAAACGAAAATGTGATCTTAATAGATACAGAACGTTTAAAACTATAATCAGATTTGAGGCTTCTTTTGAAACAAACGGAAGGTCTGAGTTCATCCACTGAAAATTATTGGCTCTGTTCCCCAATATCATAGACTTTTAGAGCACTGTACTGTACTTTATCTCAGAACCTAAACAAGGAAAGCTAAATTGAACATGACTCATCATGACCCTTTGATAGAAAATAAATTAAAAGCATTTAGGCTTTCACATTGCCATGTAATCAGATGGGATACTCAAAACTCAAGCAGCTGTCTTTAAGAAGTTAAATGACCTCCTTAATAGCAAGCGGAATAATCACCATCAAGTTCTATTAATGCAGGGAACATAGATGAACACATTAGAAATAATGTGTAGAACGAGTTCTTACCAAAGATGATAAGAGGTAGTTCCAGCCAAATGGCCGCCAGCCGGAAGAGCAGAAACGGGGCTATGATTCCCCCAAAATCACATAAACCTGAGCAAAGAGAAACTCCAAAGTTTCTGTAGAGTAAAAAAATTGTTTTAAATAAAATATATTTAACTATATTCAAGATAAGAAAAATATTCAGATATACAAGTCATAAATTTTAGTAATATTTCCCATTTCTATAGTTTTTTTGAAAAAAATTTACTTATTTAGTTAACAGAGACAGAGAGAGAGATAGAGCATGCACGAGCAGGGGGAACAGCGGCCGAGCAGGCAGAGGGGGAAGCAGGCTCCCTGCCGAGAGAGGAGCCCGTTGTGGGACTTGATCCTAGGACCCTAGGATCATGACCTGAGCTGAGCCACCCAGGCATCCCCCATTTTTTACAGTTTTTAACTCTGAAAATGGCTATTCCTCCCATATTCTAAGCAAATCGTTTCCATTCTGCCCCATTTCACATCTGGGCAAAGGCTGAGTCACAGCGAAGACTGTGCGGTGGAAATCCTCTCACCAACGTCTCACTCCCCAGCCCACTCGGCGATGCTGATGGGGTGACTTGACTCCCTCACCTGACAGTGAGGTGTGCCCACGAGTATTCCCCCAGGGAAGGAGGCCGTTGGAGCCCATGCGCACTGTTTCACTCTGTCCTGCATTATTAAATCAGCAGCTCACAGTGGCAAGACGGGGAGTGTGGTCAGAACAGAGGCTGTAGCCTTTGAACAGGATGACGCTGATGCAGACAGTTTTAACCCACATCTAAGCAAGTACTGTAATCAGATTATCTGATCCCACAAAACCACATCCGAGTATAAAGATACTGGTACGGAAATACTTCTATCAAAAAAATGCGGAATGTAGCAATGCAGAAAGTAGCCCTAACTCAAAGCACATCTTCTTTCCTGGCTGAATTCAGCCCCGGCTAACATATCGCCCAGTTAAGGAAACATTTTAATGGCTTTGAAGTCAAAACATTTGGCTGCAGAATTACTTAGGAGAAACAATGACATATAAGTTGGAATTACCGTAACGTTGTTGGGTACAATTCAGAATTTACCAAATAAACAATTTCAAAGGCCATGGTTATCCCTAGTCTTCCCAGGGTAGCAACAGTGGTTCTCAACCAGGGTATTCCTGTGAACACAGAAAATTTGGAAGGAAACAGTTAGGGGTCTGCTTTCAGTAAAAATACCACAAATCAACAGAAGGCATTTGCTTAGAGATTTTCCCAGGCCCTAAGTCTTTGCCAATTTAAAGCACGAATGACAGATACCTCCTAATATTGTAGCCAAAATTTTTTTTAAGATTTTATTTATTTGACAAAGAGAGAGAGGCCGCAAGAGAGGGAACACAAGCAGGGGGAGGGGAGAGCGAAAAGCAGGCCTCTCGCTGAGCAGGGAGCCTGATGTAGGGTTCGATCCCAGGACCCCAGGATCATGACCTGAGCTGAAGGCAGATGCTTAACTGACTGAGCCACCCAAGCGTCCCAGCAGACATGTTATTAGTGTTACTTAAGAGAGATAAGTTTTCAATAATCTCACTCTCCAGGGAATTACTTTTTTTTTTTTTTAAGATTTTATTTATTTATCTGAAAGAGGACACAAGTTGGGGAGGGGAGAGGAGGAGCAAACTCCCCACTGAGCAGGGAGCTCAACCTGGGGCTCAGTCCCAGGACCCTGAAATCATGACCTGAACCCAAGGCAGAAGTCTAATGACTGAGCCACCCAGGCGCTCTATCATAGCCAAATTTTAACAGCAACAACCACCAGGATGAGAGCTAATGTGTGCTAGTCGCCTTTCTGAGCAGGGTTAGATGATGGGAAGGCAATTCAAGAACCATTTCTTGAAAGGCCACTAGACTGAAAACAGTGTTCCAGGCATTGCTTTCCTAGAGGGCCTGACTGCACTGGATGTCTGTCTGGAAGGTGGTCTTCACTTGGACCTTGAGAACCATTACCGCAGCCTGGTACCCATCTGTCCTCTCTCCATTCCCACCCCTAGTGATAGCACACAGCATAGCTGTTCCTGCCAGACCAGGAGAAATCTGGACATGAAGCTGGTGTTGGTTTCTGAAGGCTAGCCAAGGCTTTGAGGACCAGAACCTTTGGAAGGGGACACTTATGCCTTGTGTTATCACTAGAGTGTATGTCCCCCATCTTGCTACTTCCCCCAAGAAATCACCCAGAGGAGATGGCTTCTTAAAAATTAGTTGGTTTCTTCATTTAAAAATGAACTGTTTGAGGGCTGCATTGGTTATACGAGGAAATTCTCCTTTTCTCCACAGTAACTAGTGGAAAAAGCCAAGTGTTCCTCATTAAATATTTTCTTTCTTTTAAGGTTTAAAGGAAGAAGGAGTAAACCATTTTTGCCCTACAAAGTCAGTGCTCTAAATCTCTTAAGAGTTGCGCAGTTTATGCCTTCCTTCTTCAGCGGACACGGGTGTGAGGACATATGACCTCACCAATAGGCTCGAGTCTGTTCTCCAAAGCGAGGCTAAGGATGTTCTGACTTCCATCTTTGAAAAGGAAACTTTTCCCTTTTACACCCATACTCATGCTCACTCAGCACTAAACGGCTCTCTTATCTCCGAGAAGAACGATTGCCCCTTCGTGAAAAATGATTTTTTTTTTTTTTTAGTGGACACTTAGGCATGAATGCAGAGGAGGACAGAAGAGAATCAAGATCAGTAGATGTACGGGCATTCTCTGCAGAAGAGTCAACAAAGAAAAAACCCCCGAAAACTCACTAAACACTACATTGCCTAGGAGGGCGGGCACAGAAAGAGAGTTTAAGATCATTGCTGGGAGGCTCCAGCTTATGACTACAACATTGCGTTTTGCTTGCACACTGGCTGAGGACGTCCTGACGGACTTGACGTTTCTCCCAGATGACAGCATCTGCAGCGCTCCCGTATCAACAGCTCCATCAGGGGTGAGGAGTATCAGCCTTGTGCCCATGTGCCCGGCTGCCATCTGCTCGGGCACGGAACGGTTGTAAACATGTGTTTTATTTAGGCTTTGCCTTTTCACAAAGGCCAGGGAGGGGGACCAGGAAATGCATTCCACCCCAGGCTTCAATGAGCAGGTGGTGCAGTGCCAGGTGCCAGGGAACAGAACGTGGCAGCTCTTGCCCGGATTCCCTGGGTCCCAGCCTGACCGGGCAACCTTTCGCTGCTCTCGGGCTGCAAAGAGTGTCGCCTGATACTGTGGAAACAGCTTGATTATCAAGGTTAAGTTCTTAAGTTTTAGGTCTTTTTTTCCTACTGAATCAAGACAACTCTGTAAGGGAGTCCCGCTGACAATTTCAAGGACAGTTTAAGTTTACGACGGAGGCTGGAACTGTTTGCTGGAAAGAACCAAACAAAAACCCAGAAGCCAAATGCAAACACACACGTGTGCACATAAAACATGTGATTAGCTCAGTGAAGACAGGTAAATGCCCAGTCAAGTGAGTACAATGCTCAGAAAACGCTGTCAGCGGAGACCCGGGGAGGAGCCGTGGTTTCTCCTCCACGTGGGCTGGACTCTGAGAGCCTCTCGACTCCTGAGCAGCAGAGGCCACTGTGTAACCACACTGAGCTAGAGATCTGGGTGAAATGTGTAATAACACACAACAACCAGAGGCTCGGAGAGTGAAACGAAAGCAGTTTGTTAGGAAGTGCAAATGATATGTGACTATCACGTATATAAACAGAAACTTCCCACCATCCCAGTGATAAGCTGCCTTTATCTTGGAGCAACGGTAGACACCTTTCATAGCAATGACAAAGGAACACAAGACAATTTACAAATGAGGACTGAGGCTGGCACTCTCTCCATGGAGTCCCGAGAACACAGAGAAAGACGGTCCCTCTGAATAGGGGTTTGGTCAAGAGACTGGAGATTACTGGGAGTAAGACCTCAAGTTTTGAAAAGCAGGATGCAGGATTTTAAAGAAACGCTATTTGATGTCTCCTCTGAATGTACCATCTGCTTTGAGTTCTGAAATAAAATGTAGTGAAAATTTGTACTAGAGATGTGTAAATTAAGGTACATTGGCTGGTTTTTCACTTAAGAGGGAAATAAAAGCAAAAGGCAGTTCAGCCTTTCTGTTTCAAAGGGGGTACTTAACCGGGCGGTTAGGTCTGTAGCCATCCCAAACAAATCCAAATGAAAGACTCAGGCCAGACCACTGTAGACAAAGAAAACCTTCTAGTTTTCCGACTTTAATCAGAGTTCAAAAATGTGGGTCAAAAGCAGTGAGGTTTAAGTGAACGTACAGCCAGAAAGGCTTTCTTTTGCCAGAATCTCATTCTTCAGGCCATAAAAAGTTGTGTTTAGTGGAGGGGAAGCCACTAAAACTGTTCTCAATAATTTTAGAGCTGATTCCTCTAAAAGGCTAATCAGCATTCTCTGCATGGGCCATCCTCCTCTTCCTGACGTCAAGAATGACTGAGAGGAAAAGTCTTTCTAATGTTAATTCATCAGCCCGAGTAACCAAGTCCAAAAGCTCCCTTCAGGAGAAAGGCTGCCAAAGGAGTGAGAACTGCCCCTACACTGTGGGTACTCACAAGGAGCATTAGGGATGTGAATTTATTCTTGCCCATCACGACTGACATATGACTATCTGGAAATGCACAATCTGCGTCCAGAATAAGAGCATAATAATTACTTTTCAGGATTGCTGAAAACAATTCTAAAGCTGAAATCAGGAAATGGTATCTTCAAAATAAAACTGATCAGATCACACGGAAAAGTCTGTTCTTTGCCTTACATTTTTCCATATAAGAAAGTGTTCTCTACAAAATCGCCTGATTCCCATTCATCTAGTTACTCCAATGTTGGTGCGGGCACATGGTCTAGAATGCTCTCGGGGATCACGTAGAATGCTGTGCACGTCAAAATCACCCCAATCAGTCTGAGCCCAGACAGAATCTTCCAGGGGAATGTTATATCATGAAATGATGGGCCATCCATAAGTCCTTAACCTTTATCCACCCATAAGTCCTTAACCCATTCCCTAATTCCATGTGCAACAAATACTTCTTACTCCATGTGCCCTGAGAACAGAAGACCTCCTGGTAGGATTTTCAACCCAAAATGATACAATATTAAAGTAAAATGGAAACAACAGAGAAGTCCAGATCCTCCATTTGTCCCCCTTCTGCTTAAATTGAACACTATCGCCAAGGGCAGAAGTTATGTCCATCTTGTTCACTGCTCTGTTCCTACTCCTAGTTTAGTGGTGGCCATTCATAGATACTAAACAGACATGCATTGACCAATAGATGTTACACAGATTGTCCAACTCTTAGAAAAATTCTCTAACTCAATGTAGTGGGTTGAATAGTGTTCCCCAATGTAGTGGGTTGAAGAGTGTTCCCCAAAGTTCATGTCCACCTAGAACCCAGAATGTGAGTGTATTTCTAAATGGGTCTTTGCAGATGTGATAGTTAAGATGCAGAGGAGAGAGGGTCCTATGAAGATGGGGGCAGACATTGGGATAATGTCAAGGAATGCCTGTGGGGTTACCAGCAACCCCCAGAAGTTAGGAAAGATGAGCCTTCAGAGAGAGGCTGGCCCTGTCCACACTGGGATTTCAGACCTCCAGCCTCTGGGACTGTGAGAGAATATATTTCTGTTGTTTCAAGCCCCCCCAGGGCGTGGTACTTGGTTACTATAGTCCTAAGAAACTAGTATACTAGAAGAAAATAAGATCGGTGTAAATAATCAGTTCTGTTAATCATCAACCAAATCAGTAAGACTGAAGACTTTACATCCTTTTTAAATTTTCTGGTCTGAAGATGGACATTTTTGTAATTTTATTCAAGTAGGGTTTGGGGACTTCATAAACCATCATATAATTAATAAACTCATCTGTAAATGCCTGTTTTCACTTCCACAATATTATGCCTTCTTTCTTGATCCTCAGATGATTCTCCTAAGAAAAGGCAGTCTCTCTGGGGCTGACACAAGGACTCCCGGAGAACCCGCCCTCTCAGGAACCTCTACCTCACATGCGTCGCACCTGGAAATAATGAACTTGCTCTGATTCACACATTCCCTGGGACTTGGCAGGGCTTCCCCATCCAGGGTCCGCTGTGTCCTGGGGCAGAGATGATGTGGGTTGTAGGACCCATGCATCTGGGGTCACTGCCCCCTCTGCAGCATGCTATGGTCATTGAGCAACCCTGACCTCTGACACCACCCTGAAATCATCCTCTCTCGCTCGGGCCGACTGCCGTGACACTGATTCCTGCTCTCGGCATCCCTCCCTCCTCACTGCTACCAGCCAACCTGATGCGACTATGAGGAAGCTAGCAGGGCCATGCCCAAGCTCCCGGCATGGCCCCTGAGGCCAGTCACCGCTGGTGGCAGGCTATCTTTCAGCCCCCTTTTTGGGAAACTTGAGCGATAACAGAGAACGTGTGATCCCAGATCCCTCAAAGAAGGCTCATACTTTTGAGAGCCGTGCTCTGCTGTGAAAAAACATCTCTCCTATCCTTCCCTTCTGTCAAGGGGATTTATTTTTTCTTTTATAAAGTTTGCTTATTTATTTATTTTTAGTAATCTCTACACCCAAAGTGGGGCTCAAACTCATGACCCTGAGATCAGGCTGACTGAGCCAGCCAGGCCCCCCTGTCCAGTACCTCTCTCTTCCTCTTTCACACGTGCCTAGTTCTCGCCTCTGGGAAGTTTTTCCTGACCACTCCATGCATAAGACTCCTTGTACCTATTTTTTTTTTTAATCATGTAGAGCCTTCAGAAAGCTTTATTTTTCTGAATCTGGTACAATTGGCTCCAGAACAACAGGTTTAAACTGTGTGGGTCCACCTACGTGCAGACAGTATTTCCACTACACTACAGTATTTTTCTCTTCCTTATGATTTTCTTGGTAACATTTTCTTTTCCCTAACTTCATTGTGAGAATACAGTATATAAGGCATATGACATACAAAATATGTGTTCGTCGACTCTTTTGTTATAGGTAAGGCTTCTAGATAACACTAGGCTATTAGCAGTTCAGTTTCTGAGGAGTGAAAAGTTCTATGCAGGTTTTTGCTCATGCAATGAGTCAGCATGCCCTACCCCTAATGACAAGGTTTACCTCTAATTCTATTATTTCATTTATCACAGGGAGTTGTGAAAGCATTAAAATATCTATATCAATGTTTAGAGCAGCATTATCAACAAAAGCCAAGTTATGGAAAGAGCCCAGATATCCATATGTCCATCGACTGATAAATGGATAAAGAAGATGTGGGGTGTGTGTGTGTGTGTGCAATGGACTACTACTCAGCCATATAAAAGAATGAAAGAATAAAATCTTGCCATTTGCAATGGTGTAGTTGGAGCCAGAGAGTATAATGTTAAGTGGAATCAGTCAGTCAGAGAAAGACAAATACCATATGATCTCACTCATATGTAGAATTTAAGAAACATAACAGTTGAATGTGGGGAGGGGGCAAGAGGCAAAACTAGAAACAGACTCTTAACTATAGAGAACAAACTGAGGGTTGCTCGAGGGGAGGGGAGTGAGGGAATGGGCTAGATGGGTGATGGGCATTAAGGAGGGCACTTGCGATGAGCACTGGGTGTCCTATGAAAGTGATAGATCACAAAATTCTACATCTCAAACTAATATTACACTGTATATTAACTAACTAGAATTTAGTTAGAAAAACTTGGAAGAAAAGCAAATTTTTAAAAATGGAGTGTCCATACTCCTTCCTAAGTCATGAACCTTCTGGAGTCAATGGGTATCTTCCTTTCTCCCTTTTGTAACCCTGGTATTTTGCATGGGGCCAGTGATACCGCAGGTAATCAGGAAATACAGTAACCATGGTCAAGGAGTGCATGCGAGCCAGTTGAATAAAAGTGATCAGTAATAACCCACATCACTATAAGCTAGACTCTGCATGACAGCTAACTTCCATCATAAATGAACCTAAAGTGGAGAAAACAGAAAAATCTGTAGAACCAATCCCTACACACAGAGTCATTACACCACTTAAGAAGAAAATTGGGTGATATCACTATAGGTTGACCGGTACCAGGATTTTGAGGGTGGTACATTTTTGAAGGACAAGAAGTTCCCCATTCTTGATTATTTTGATTTAGGACTATTTCATGTTCTTGAGTGCTGGACAGATTTGGGGGATTATTACCTTCGGGTAAGAATGCAGTGACAAGGCAGGCCACCCCCGCCACTATGTTGCTTCCCGCGAAGGGAAGGCGTCGTCCAAAACGCTCAATGGTCAGTAAGATCAGGAGGGCCGCGGGCAACTCCACAACTCCTGAGATGAAAAAGTCGATATAGAGGTTGCCTCCTATAATTCCCAGGCGCATGACGAGTCCCTGATATACCACCGCGCTTGTGAACCTGGAGCAACAGTGAAAAACAACGGAGACCAAGTAAGGCATAACTTCAGCCTGCTCCAAAGGAAGGGGTGCATTGTAAATTCGATACAAGCTTTTGAGCCCATCACAAGTCAGACTTACCAAGCAAACATAAGAATAAGTGTGCACTTCCTCATTTGGGGAGTCCTCACCAGATCTAAAAAGGATGGGTTACTAACCTCCTCATCTGTAACAGTGATCTATATAAGAGAAGCAGATTTCAGTAGCAAATACAGCAAGACACACCTGCATATTATAGATTTTCATTGACCAGATTCAAAGCCACCAAGTCAAATGATCTGACTGAATCGACAGGGGTCTTTCACAACTACGTCTTAAAACCTGAGAATGGAGAGTTTGATTCCTTCGCCGTCATAAAAGGTCAGATTCACAAAGATGTGGTTGCTGCAGGAGAGGCTGTTTTGAGGCAAGGACCAGGGGTCCTGTATGCTAATCTGCTCGGACTCACCAGGGACAAAAGGTGTGTTTTAAAGTACAACACACGTGTGCATTTATTAAACTGGAGAAAACAAATGTAAAAATGGCATAAGCAGCTGGGATCCAAATGAGTGTTTCTTTATTAAATTATCAACCTGATGTTCAATAAGATTATCTTAAACTCAAGAGCAAGCAGGGCCCCAAAGGTGTCCGTTCGCTTTGGTCCATTTATTTGAATCAAGAGTCTTTTCGATCCTGGAAAATTCAGCTCATCTCTATTTGGTCATCCAAGAAGTTGGTCTTTTCTTTCATTGCATGAAACAAATATTGCTGGTGCTTATGATTTATAAGGCACTATAAGGGAAACAAAGCCAAAAAGCAGGTACTTTGTCAGTCACCGAGGCTAAGCACGACACTGGATGAGTCAGACAAAGCTTGGTATCTCCTGTATGCTTGCTCCAGGACGGTCCCAAGCAAAAGAAGACTGCAAAGTCAATGCCTTTGGATCACCTTCTCTCCCAATACCGGAATCTCTTCTATCCCAAGACATGTATGTTTCACATTTTAACCTTTCCTAAATTGGGATGTGTCCTACAACTGAGCCGAAAAGAAAACAATACATTTAATAATATGTTTCAGAGCATGGTTTTTCTTACTTAGTGGTACATTAAATGATGGATCTTACAATCAATAGGGTCGTAGAGTCAGTGACACAAAACTAGTTTCCATGACAATGCCTGCGGAAGACTGCTCATTGGTTCTACCATCCATTCTTTCTTTCTCCCTTTTGATAACAGAATCCACTGAATTTCAGTTTGGTGCGTGGATACCTCGCCAAGTCACATTTTCTAGCCTCTCCTTCAACTATGGGCAGCCCTTTGATTAAGCTCTCAGTAATGAGGTGGGAATAGAAGCCATGTACGCAAGTTCTAGAACTAATCCTTTAAAAAGAAATGGCTTTTCTCTTTATTCACTGCCTTCCCTCTCCTAAGGGATGGAAGGAGATGCTGGTGAATTAGCTTTTCCTTGACAACCTGTTGCAGGTAACATTTGCAGAAACAAGATAACTGGAACCTGGGTCCTGGAGGCACTCAGGGACCAGAGCTGCCTTTTAGTGCTGGGCTGCTTACCTCTGGGTGAGCACGCGTTCAAGAGAAAGACACTTTTCTTCCTTCCTTCCTTCCCTCCCTCCTTCCTTTTTCTTTCTTTCTTTCTTTCTTTCTTTCTTTCTTTCTTTCTTTCTTTCTTTCCTTTCTTTCTTTCCTTTCTTTCTTTCTTTATTCCTTTCTTTTTCTTTGGTCATTATATTTTTGGGTTCTCTGTTTCAGCAGCAAGTTGACCTGTACTCTAAATGAATACAATGCTTATGAAAATGTTCCCCAATCTACTCTTCGAAATTCTAAGAATTTTTAAGACCTTTGCCGCTCCAAAAATAAGGCAGAAATACCAAAAATGAAAGAACTTCAGGTATTACAACAATGTATCATTATATGGTTGGTTATCAAAATGTTTTCCACAATTACTTTCCTATCTTGTCCACGTTAAAATAGTTCACTTCTGCCTGGGTGCCTCAGTTAAGTGTCTGCCTTCTGTTCAGATCATGATCCCAGAGTCCCAGCATCGAACCCCCCATTGGGCTCCCTGCTCAGTGGGGAGTCTGCTTCTCCCTCTGCCCCTCCCCCTGACTCATTCTCGCTCTCTCTCTCAAATAAATAAATAAAATCTTCTTAAAAAAAATGGTTCATTTCTAAAGAGCATGTAATACTTGTTGGATTCTGGGCTAACTACCTTACATGGATTATTTCATTTGATTCTGTCAAAATCCTCCAAAGTTATCAATCCTGTTTTATAAAAAAGAAAAACAAGGCTCGGGACTTGAAGGGTTAACGAGAAGGCGGTTGAGCTGGGATCTGTAATCAGGCACTTGATAGGGACCCTTTATTCTTACTGATCACATGGCTGCTGAATGGATTCGAGGCTTTTTTAGAAAACTTCTGTGTAGCTGATGGTCACTTCCTTTTCAAGGAAGGATGTTACACATTTGGCCAAAAAGCCAAATTTAAAACATAAAACATAAAACATAAAGTTAAAACATAATTTTATGGAAAAGTTAGATTTGACTAAAATCTAGAGCTTGAGGACCTTTAAATTCAAGATCAAAACTACCCAGACTGGGAGGGCAGCTGTCGTCCATGGATATTTCACTTTTTCCAAGGAGTCTTTTCTTTTCACTCACTTACGGGTTTTCCACGCTCAGACTTGGGTCAGCTTGACTGTGCTCATTCAGACGACTCCCTTTTCTCTAGGGAGTCCCGGGTCCGGTCACTGCTCCCATCCACACATCTGTACCACTGCTCCCCAGAGCACACAGATGGTGACGATCTTTTCTTTACTAAAGCAGTATTTGCCACAATTTGTTATGGTTTCTCTTTCATTCCTTCTTCAGTCTTCTTATCTTCTCCCCACAGCTATGACTTCTACCGACTAGAAAAGACTACAAATTCGCTTTCATTCACGTCCCAGTGTCAACACCCCAGAGTTAAAGGAGATCATGTATCATATATTTCAAGATCTCTGGTCAGTTCAGGAAGATAACTTGACATTTCAGCACTTTTGTAGATTTTTTCAGTCACTCGCGATTCTTAGAACTATCTCTACCTGATAAAACATCTGAGCATCTCTTATTTTTGTGGTATCTCTGCCAATGTCACTTTTTCTTGATCGTATCTCCAGGCTGGTTAAGTTACTACACAACCACAGAATTATGACGTGATAGATTTTGACAAGACAATAGAGGCCTACTGGTCTGACCCAGAGGTCAGCACACTTTTTTTTTTTTTTTTTTTTTGCAAAGGACCAGATTATAAGTACTTTTGGTTTTGTGGGCAATATAGTCTCTGTTGGAGCTATTTAACTTTGCTATCACAGTGTGAAAGCAGCCACAGATGGATACACAAATGGATGACTATGGCCGGATCCCAATAAAACTCTGTTTACAAAAACGGGCAGCAAGCCAGGTCTGGCCTGCAGGCTGTAGATTGCTGGCTTCTGAACTAGAAGGTTAGTGCTGTTGGAACTTATAAATGATATTCTTATACCCATCACAGAGAGGAAGAAGTTGAGGCACAGGAAAGATAAGTAGCTTCCCCACAGAGGACCAACAGACAGTAAGTCGATGAACCAGGAGGTGGACACCCAGGTCTGTATGTTACTAACCATTATGCTCTAACTGTGTCTGCAGTAGTCAGAGTATAATATTTATTTTAATGTTGAAAAATATGCTGTATCATTAGTGGTTCTCACAGGGTAGTAAGATTATGGTGGGTTTTACTTTTTTCCTTTTTGCTGTAAATATTCTCTTAAAATTAAAATTTAAACCAAAAGTCCTTTTCCTAACAAGAAGAACTATACCTTACCTTTCAAATAACGGATTTAAGTGAGACCATAGAATACCTTTTTTGTTGTTGGCTCTGTGTCATTCTCCCTTTCTTGGTCTTAATAGAACCCTCACTGCGCCTCCCCCCATCAATTCCCATTCTCAGGGGAGCTGATTCTGTTTCCAGTTGTAGGGGAGACCTGGTTGCCGAAGGGCAATTCTACCCTCTGTGCCAGTGACTGGGCACGAGACCCAATTTGAACCAATGAGAAATCGTCTCAAGAAAGTCCTTCACTGGGGGCACCTTGGGTGCTCAGTTGGTTGAGCACCTGCCTTCAGCTCAGGTCCTGATCTCGGAGTCCTGCCATCCAGCTCTGCATCAGGCTCTCTGCTCAGCGAGGATTCTGCTTCTCTCTCTCTCTCTCTCTCTCTCTAATAAATAAAATCTTTAAATAAAACAAACAAAAAAAAGAAAGTCCTTCACCGACCTTAAGTCGGAGGTTCCTGAAGGAATCTTCTCTCTCTACCCTCAGGGAATTAATGAGAAAACAGTAGACTCAAGTAGAACTTAGTATCTAACTTACGCTCAGGAGGCCAACCGCGCGAAGATGAAGCCACTCCGTCGGCAGAGTGGGGCGGGAGAAAACCATGGCTGGGACTGTTGACAGCCAGGTCCAGCCAACCCCAAATGCAGCTATTAGCCCTAGAATTCCAGATACAGGAGCCAGGAAATGGGCTTATTGTTTAAGCCCATTTAAGTTGGTTTTCTGTAACTTGTTGCCTAAAGCAGAATTTTCTGGAGAATTCGGTCCAGAACAATTCTTTTGCAATAATTGTGTATTTTAGGCAACATAATTTTGTATTGAAGAATTAAAATAATTGCTGAGTCTTCCGACTTACTCAGGAAAAATATTTATTATTAGTCTTCATTTCAAACTTTTAAGATTGAGAATCAAGCCGTCACATGATCTCTGCTTTCCCAAAGCACAAGTTTCATGCCTAACACATACCCTTTACCAAAAGAATATGAGGTACTGATAAAACCTAAGGTAACCAAGACCGTAAAAGCCAATCTTCCCTGTCCAGTGAATGAAAGGATTAATAGTACCTCCAAGCAAGTATGCATTTTGCCAATTTAAGAATAAATCCAGCTGGTTTTTTATTTACTGACATGTTCTCTACAGTGACGCAGATATTCTGAAAGATGACCCACTTTCTAGGTGACCGAAGACCTTGAGAGACTGAACGCCGTGTCTTGGGATGGGCATACGTCCAGTACAGTCTTGGCAACTCATGTGCAGTGGCTGCTGAAGCTCTTCTTCTTCTACAACAACTCCCAGCTCTGAATTTTGAAATTAAGCTGTGTTTATTTTGTGTTGCCTAAGG